ATCCATCCATCCATCCATCTCCATCCATCATCCATCCATCCATCATCCATCCATCCATCATCCATCGATCCATCCATCATCCATCCATCCATCCATCCATCCATCCATCTCCATCCATCATCCATCCATCCATCATCCATCCATCCATCATCCATCCATCCATCCATCCATCCATCCATCCATCCATCCATAGGGTTAACCCTAACCCTTTTTAGTTATTGTTCTTATATTTTTATTGCAATTTTGCAGGATTTGCTTAACTAAGTTTTATGTTGTTGAATATAAGAGATTTAGCAAACATTAATTTTATACATACATTGTTTAGATTAACTTTCTACCCACATTATATCATAACTTTTGCTTTTATTAGTTCCTGCTCCTGGTGGTTCTCACCTTTATTCCACTCTGATTTCTCATGAGTGAATTCTTTTTCTGGTCTCTTTATTTTCACAGACTTTGAAGGATCTAGATAGATAGATAGATAGATAGATAGATAGATAGATAGATAGATAGATAGATAGATAGATAGATAGACAGACAGACAGACAGACAGACAGACAGACAGACAGACAGACAGACAGATAGATAGATAGATAGATAGATAGATAGATAGATAGATAGATAGATAGATAGATAGACAGATAGATAGATAGATAGATAGATAGACATTCTATGTGTTGGCAGATTGTCTATCTGCAATCATTCAGTCATTTAAAAAGAAAAAAGTTAAGAACAAATTAAAGAACAGTCTCCAAAGGTTAAAATTGTACTGATTTAATCTGAGGGACAATAAAGAAATAGTAACATCCTGTAGATCCGCCTCCTGCTGGTCTCCTGCTTACCTGCAGCGCCACCTTATGGACTAACAATCAAAGTGTAACAAAGAGAGCAGTTGAAGGTTGTTCTTTTAGGGGCAATTATCTATTGCAAGCTGTTTTAGTTTTACACGTTTACAAGGACAAAGATTGATTTCTGTAAAGAGAATTTATCCCAAGCAGTGATCAGGGCGGCAGCTTCCAGAGCAAGATGTCATCTGCTGATGGGAATTATCTAAGGACAGACCAGGAAAGTCTCAGACCCTAGAAGGAAAATCACCTTTCTCTCAAAAAACGCTCTTCAGCACCAGAGAACAAGATGCTCTCCATGATCTCTCCAAGCTGCTCTACCTGGCTGTGTTTCCTGGACGGCGCCGCCTGTGGAGCCAATAGTTACCTTTTGTTTCTCTGATTGTTTTTCTATGTCTGCTTCTGTCTCCATATCCATTGCATGGGATTTTTTTTTTTATCACAAAGTGGAACTTTATGGCAGGAGCCATGATGGTCCACTAGTGGCAGTAAACCTTTGGGCTATTTTGCAGCAGTGGGGAAACAATTCTCAGTGTTATATATTTGCAAACAATTAAAAGTGAATCAAAAAAGAAGAAAAATCTGCTAAAGGTTTTAGTCGTTGTCCAAATTACAAACAGAGTAAACTTTCCTGCAAGAGAAAGAAAACCTGGATTTCCAGATATGGAAAAAATGTCAGACAACAAAAACAACAACAAAACAAATGAACCGATTATTTGAACCTATTGATGGTAACAACCTGCTAAGTGATTGCCGGCATGGCTTTAGACCCTCCTGCTCATCCATGTCAGCACTAAATAACGATAATAATGTGACTGGTGCTGCATGTCTGACTCTAGTTAATAGTTAATCATCACATTTATTTGAATAAACTGAGTTCCTTTGTAATGTTATTTTCTAATTGTTTGTTTTAGGCAGTTTATGGGAATCCCAGTAGACAGCGTTTTGCTTTTCCTGATATTAATTAGTAACTTTCCTCGAGTTCTTTGTCAGTAGCTGTGCTTTTTCATCTGAATATGATGTGAAACTATAACAAACCTTTATAAAGTACAGCAGAACATGCATTTATAAAACCTTATTTGTAACAAATTCACATTTTCAAAAAGCAAACTGTTGATTTTTACATTAAAATTAGAGTCAAACTTGACCTTTGCTCTTTCCTTTCATGTCATTCGCTCTATTGCTTTCCAAAGCTGTAGCATCTCTGAACTATACAATGGCTACAGTAATTTATACAGAATCAATCCTGGTTGTTTTAAAGTTTTCCTTTCATGTGAAGTGAAATAAATGAATATGGCTGTTTCTAAAATGTTTACAGATTCACCTTCTTCCCTGTCAGGTTGTTTCTTCATTGACAGTTTGCTGTAATTCCTTGGTGATGAGGTCATCAGCAACATTAAAAGCTTCTCTCCAGTTTTTCTCACATTTCTTCCTGATCTCTGCGCTCAGCTTTAGGTTTACCGCCTGCCTCAGAACCTCCTTCAGCACCTTTTCCTCCTCCTCCAGAACCAGTTTGTAGTAAAGTGTTTCTTCATACTGAGCGGTTTGCCTGCTGCATTTACACACGCCGTCACATTTCCATCTGATCCATGAACTCATGGCTCCTGAGAAGATTATGATGAAGAGCATCCAGCAGCCAACAACCTGCAGCAGAAACACGACAGGCAGTTAGAGACTGAAGGTCCAACCTGCAAACGGTTCCTCCTGCAGGACAATAAAGACGTCCTTCACCCTGGATGTGTTTTTCACCCCAGCGATGGTTTCTCTCTCCTCAACGGTCCTCCTCCCCGGGTCTTTGCAGGGTAGATGGGCCTGTTCCTCAGAAAGGTTATTAAAGCAGCAGGCAAACCAGTCGCCTTTAACGAAAAGAAGTGCAACCCAGAGGAGACCGACCATAGAAGACTTCAGGATCTGACAGCAGAGAAACCCTTTGAATGTGCAGCAGTAGCTGCAGAGCCTCTGGAACAGCCTGTTGGACCACAGCATCAGGACGGTCACTATGAGAGCAGGAAGAAGTGAGTAAATGATGCAGTCATAGTGCTGAGGTTTGCAGGTGCACTCAAAGTCCCTGCTGAGCAGAATGCTGTAGGTAAACATCACCACGATCACCATGTAGATTTGCAGTTTCCCTGCAGCCACTTGAGTCAGTAAACGCTGCATCTCTGCTGGTGGGAGATGATCTGATAGCGAACTGTTTCTGCCTCTGAGAGGAAAAAATGGAAAGAATTACGACAAACTTCCCATTTTAAGCTGCAACAACCACCTTCGCCATCAGTCTGAGCAAACAGAGCAGCAGCACTGAAAACAGGAAGATGTTGAGAAATTAAGGTCTTGCTAAGGTTTTCTAAACTTTCAACATTTTATTACGTTACAAACACAAACCTCAATGTTTAAATTAGGATTTATGGTAAAAAGCTGAAAAGTGCGGTGTGCATTTATATCAGTCAATCTGGGTCAGAACTTCCTTTTGCATCAATAGAGCTTCTCAGCTTCCAGACTGGAGCTGAAAACAGAGAAAAAGATGCATAGATCTGCTCAATAATCCACCTTAAAGTCCAACTCTTCCTACCGAGATCATTGATCGATCTCCGTTTAATTAACTAGGGTGAATACTTTAATCCTTTTTCCCCATTACAATAGATTAGGATTTTACCGCAGGATTAGGATTAATAAATGTTTCTCTGGACCTTCATCTGATTTTGGTCAGTTTGAAAGGTCTTTATGAAAAACTTTTCAAAGACCTGAAACCAGCAAACGCAGCTCGGACCTAAAGATCCTCCCTTCAGTCCAGGCGGCTCTCCTAATCCCGGTGGTTCGTGTTTTTCTGATCGTCTGCTCAGCGTTCTGTCCAGACCGAAGCTGAAGAACCTTCCTGAAGTGCGTGAATCACTTCCTCCTGCTTCTTCCTCCGACAGTTCCTCTTTATTTCATCATTTCATTGTTTTATTGAGCAGAAGTTATTTCTGCACGTGAACTTTTTTACTTTGAAGATGTGAAATTTAATTCAGTCAGCAGAAAAAAATGAAATATGGTTTGATATGAAGAAATTCAATTTCCAGACATTAACCTCAGACCAAAGCTTGTGATTTTCTGTCTGCTGTTTCCTGTGGAGAATAAAAGCAAATGATCTTTAGCTCCTTGTTTCTGCTCTGACATTTAAACCGGTAAATGTCTCCTCCTGTCTCAGCTGAACGTTCGGCTTGGAAGGATCTCAGAGCAGTTTAGTCTAGAGCTTAGTTTCTAGAATTTAACTTTAAGTTCATTATATGGAGAGAATCGGAATTGAAGGATGTGGAAATTTCTCTAGCATTAATTTGCAGCAATCTTTCCTTTAAATGAGGTGAACAGATCAGCTGCTCAGTTTTTACGTGTCTTCATCAAACCCAGAACTTCCTCTTTTTATCTAAACTATTAAAATACTTTAAGCTTTGGTCTTTATTTCTAGTCAGGTTGAATATTTTTTACCTTTATGCTGATTATATGAATCTGTTATTTATCAGTTAATATTAAGAGTTTCCTTGTTTAAATTAAATAATAAGTTTATGTTTTATGCAGCTCTTTGGTATCTGCTGAACATTAAGGAGGAAATGTTTAACTTTCATTACAGGATTTAAATTTACGGCTAAATAATCAACAATCAATTTAACTCAGTTTATTTATAAAGTGGTAATTCATAAGGATGTCATCTCAATAAACTTTACTGAGACGATTAAGTCAGATTGGTAAAAAAAAATCAGATCAGAAGTTTATTTTTATTTGAATATATTTAAATCATTTCCGCCCAGATTTCTGAACAAACGATTTAACTTTGGTTTAAAGCTCTAACATCAACAGACATTTATCAGATTTACATAATCAATAGAAGTACATTCATTACTTTTTATACATTTAGTAATTAGATTTCTTAATATTATAATTGCTTTATGATTTCTTTTTATTCTTAACTTTTTTATTCTAGGATTTATTTTGAGAG